GAGATTGTCTTGACCAGGACCACACCCCTAAATGCATTGAAGCAACTGCCATGTGATTGGTTGATTAGATAAATGCATTAATGAGAAATTGAACAGGTGTTCCTAATAATCCTTTAGGTGAGTGTATATATATCTATATAAAGTCCTTCATGTAAAACAATAAAACAAATGCTGAATGTTGGTTGTCTATCAGATACAATAAGAATGTTTCTGTATTTATTGAAGTGTATTTTACCAGGCGCTAAAACTGACTAAATGTGACTTAGATGCCCATTTGTATCTGAACCCGAGGTGTTGCTTGTTTTTCCGTTTCCGCCAAAACATTTGTTAGATTGCTCTGGACCATTCTTAAACGTACAAACGTTTGCAGGGTATGTTTTATGTTGTTTCTTTATAAATCCCGAAGTCCTTGCATAAACGTGAACACTATTTGTATTTTATTCATGAATGAGTCCCCAATAGTTCACCCACCCTTGTTTTTCTCTCGGCCTGTATTTAGGGCCTAGGCTTTATTTGCCTGTTAAACACGCATCCGGCTATTACCTGAGACTCAGCATTTGATTGAATCCCGGCTTTTATTTCAGGAAATACAGTATATATATTCTGGAAATAGCGATTGGTGCTATGTTAGTATTAGATGTGTGGTACAATCTAATGCTTTAGCTTCATGACTGCAAGGTTATGGGTTTATATTAAATATATTTGACTTAATCCTTTTCATAAAAAGCTGCCTGATTAAATGTAAAACTTTTAACCCTGTTGTAAAGTAGAGATTGTAGGGTAAGCAGTGGAGTAGAGTTTGTAGGGTAAGCAATGGAGTAGATATTGTAGAGTAAGCAAGCAAAGCTTAGGGTATTTTGGAACAAGACCTGCACTTTCATAAATGAACAATTATCAGTATTAGTTGTGCCATGAACACAATGACAGTCAATCTGCTTGCTGTCTGCATTCTATTGTTTTACCACCATCTCTCTGTAGACAGCTACTGAACGGTGTATCAGACAGTGGCCCCTTCCATTCAACAGGGGGCCCCCACACCCCTCCACAGGTGCCAGGTCCTTCACAGGGCTGGGTTGCAAAAAGCTATGTGCTGGACCTGCGCAGGTATTTCCTGAATTGTTTGTCCCACTCCAGAACTTACGGTGAGGTGCCTCAGCTGGCAATTGATCTCGCATGAGCACTTCCTGGGCTGTCAGTTAATGCTGGCCTTATGCCGGCCTCTGTGTGCCTGTACGGTCACAATGAAAGCTGTGCTTGTGTACACAGCCCGTCTCGGGATCCCACGGACAGACAATGCAGGAACCGAGGGCTGAAGGAGGGAGGCCTCACAGGTGGCTGGAGTACTCCGACGAAGCATGAACTGCAGCTCATGCACAGCAAGGATTTCAGCTTGTACTCGTATGTGTCTCTCTCAGACCTAAAATCCCCTTTTCCTTCTATATCAAGGGTATATTCTTGTGCACTATTTGTGCTATTACCTATACATGCCTCTCTATTTCCCCTTTTTTCCTTGTGTAAATTATAAACCGAAAGTTGTCTTGTTTCTACAGGTTTGTTGATAACAACAAACAGCACCCCCCGCAGCCTTGGCTGTCTTATTGCCACTGGATCCTGTTCTGGATGTACGTCATAGCACTGCCTTGCATTGTGCTGTTGGGCGTTTTGCTCTGCTGTCTGCAGGGTTCCATCTTTTCACTATGAAATCTCACACTCACAGCATTTCCCAGAACTAAAGCAGTGACCTTTCCTCCCATGAGAGCTGCCAGTGTGTGTGGCAGATAGGATTCTGTTAACTTTCAAAAATATGTTTTGCCTTTCTGAATTGCATACCTTTGATCATCCATGTAAGCACATATTGCAGATGTGAAATTCAGAATATTGCCTTGAATCTGTTTAGGGCAGTAAGTTCCTTGACTCTGTATCACTTTGATTAAACAGCAGACTCACCTGTGCAGCATGAGTTAAGTTTTTTACCACAATGCCACACAGTCGACAAATGACTGAAAGGTAACAAAAAAAACAAAATCATATTGAGTATTTGAAGATTTAAGTATCAGTGTGTCATAATGGCTGCACAATGAGACGCCTCAGTCTCTAGCTGAAAAAAGTGGAGTCTTTCCTTGTTTCAGTGGGGGCCTCAACTCTACACCTGTGAGGCCCAGAACATTGAGTGCACCTTACTAGTGCATTCGTAAATCACTGAGCACACCTTACTAATGCATTCGTAAATCATTGAGCGCATCTTACTAATGCATTCGTAAATCATTGAGCGCACCTTACTAATGCATTCGTAAATCATTGAGCGCACCTTACAAATGCTTCTTTTAAATCATTGTGTGCACCTTCATGATGCATTCACAGAAAACTGAGTGTACCTTTATAATGCATTCATAGAACATTCAATGTACCTTCTTAATGCATTGATAAAACATTCAGTGCATCTTCGTAATGCATTCATATAACATTCAGTGTACCTTCTTAATGCATTCATAGAACATTCGGTGTACCTTTGCAATGCATTCATAGAACATTCAGTGTAACTTTGTAATTCATTCATACAACATTCAGTGCACCTTCATAATTAAGAATTTCAGTTCATCTCCATAATTAACAGCGTTAATTTACATCAATAACAACCACTATACAATTATATTATCATATAATATTTATTTTTAATGTACACTGCCTGGCCAAATAAAAGTCACCACTTGAATTCAAATCAGCAGGTACTTAAAAGCCAAGGATAGGATCTTTATTAAAGCTTAGCAACCTTATACAGCCATAAGGTGAATTCAGCTGAATACCTGAATCTACTGAATGGCCAAGTTATCCCATTAATGGGTTTTTTCTTACCTAAAGACATGGGCATATTCAGGGATGATAATGCCAAGATCCATAGGGCTCAAACTGTTAAAGAGTGGTTTAGGGAGTGCAAGGAATCACTTTCACACGTGAATTGGGCAGCACATAGTTAATGCAAGAATTAATGCAAATCTGGATGAAAAAAAATGTTGAGATGCTGCATAAGCACATGGAAACAATGCATTAATGAATGTGCAGGCCCAACAAAATATTAAACTGTGACCTTTTTTTTGGCCAGGCAGTGAATATTAAAGCTATTAAGGTATGTTAGAATGTTAAGGTAGACTTTTTTGCAGCTTATGAATGTTCTATGAATGCATAATGAATTCTTTATGAGGGTACAGTTAATGTAAAGCATTACCAAACACCAGTATCCCTGGAACAGGTTATCTCGAAAATATACTGCTACTGCATCACTGCACTATGGACTATGGCTTATTGTGTTATGATAACTCCCACTTTAAAAGAATCAGTGATCTGCTGAGAATCTACCCTGTGGTTTCAGGTCAGCCTGGTTTATCAATCCTCAGTACAGTGTTTAAAAATGTTTTAGAGGCAATGTCCATCATTACACTACACTATGGAACTGAAAATTCCACACTGATTATTGTTGCAGAATGGATATTTTTGTTAAGAATCACTGATTCTGGCTAATGTCATAATGTCAAATCATATTATCATATTATTTTTGGTAAATGGTACTAAGTGGCCCAAAATTCTGAGTGACGCAATTTTGGTCCTACTCTTAGGAGTTGGGAGTATGAGTGTTTTGTTAATTTTCTTACAGTAAAGGAGAGACGTGTCAGAAAGGCTGGACAGCACAGCTTATAGAAAGATACCGGCTTGACAGGGATGGAATAACATTTGCTAGAAGACATGGGAGGAGAAAAAAAATCAGTCAAGGAAGGAAAAAAGATCATTCCTTTTGAGAGATCTTGCAATACTTTAACGTTACTCTTAACTTAGCTGTGTCAGTTAAAAGATCAAAGGATAGAATTAATGGACTAATAAATATGACACCAAATGAAACTAAATGATACAGACATGTCCAGTAATGTGTGCCTTAACTACTTCTCATGTCCTACTCTGAGGTAGTCCTAACTTTTATTCCAGTGAGACTTTTAGCGTGATTCTTATGAGTGATTCCCAGGCGCTTCATAAATACGGGAACTGAACTTCAGTTCTTTTGTAAAGGTGGAGTTTGTTGGTTTAGCTTAGTACTGATCCTGAGAATTACAAAGACGTCCAGGGTAATTAGCTTTCCACCCAGGGTGAAACTCCCTCAGGAGAAGCTGATGAAGAGACACCCTGTTCCAGCCTGACGACGTGGGCAGGACGCGATTTCCACAGGGCGGGGGGCGCCTTATGGTGAGTCACACATGACACTCTTCAGGCATGTTGTGAAACAGCGTGACACCAGTCTTCCAAGTGTTTGAAATATACAGAGAGGAGAGTCACAGACAGAATATACACAACTACTTCTTAGTGTTTCGTCACCTGACAAAAATACTCTGCTTTACTACTGAACTCGTCATGCTCCATTCATTATATGCGTGATTTTATTTTTATTAGTGGACGATTTTTCTACTCTAACTAAGCATTTTAAAGTAAACAAAATAAAGGCATAGATATCAATACATTTCATCAATAATCCAGTAGGGGTCACCATGGAAACATTTATGCAATTTCCTGCCTCAGCGTGAGAATTACCAGCACCTTCCTACCTCATTTGTGCGGGGGCTGTACGGTCATGCCCCTCTAGTAACTTGATTCTTATCACTTAAGGGTTACTTTTTGGGGCTCATGATAGACAAGCCTGCTTAAAAAGCACTTTGCTACATCGAAAATGATAAATACTTTATTATAAAATATAACATTTTCACAGAAATACAGTACTTTAGACAGTTGCCAGACTCATGTAAAATATGCATAACAAAAAATACAAAATATACTAAATGACAGTGGAAGATAAATGTAAATCACCTAAGAAAAGAAAGCTAAAGCTAAGCCTGTTGTCTCTATAAGCTGCTATTTTTAAATTTCTATTTTATAGCCCCTAGTTTATTAATGTAGAGCTGACATTATTCAGACACAAATCACAGTGTCCTTGATATAATAGTATTATAATTTTAATGTAAGAAATATCAGCAGAAACTATGCAAAGAGCATATTCAGTCAGTTTAATATTTGCCTACAGCAGTAGACAGGCATACAGCCTTACACAGGGATCGTTGGCTTGTTTCAAGCACATGATGAATAGCAGCTGAGAGTGTCTCTTGTGGGGGGTGCGCTCTCCCCAGGCCACTGACCACTGGCCTTACTCTTCTGCTCTTGAGGGGAGGATTCAACCCAAAAGTGCTCATTTAAACATCGAGCTACACATACAGCAGAATCCTCGAGTGGCAGCACAGTAACAGGAACCTTGTGTTCCGATCTACACCTGGCTCACTATCTCGCACTCCTCCTCTTCAAACCACTGCACAGGGGTCCCGTCAGGGGCTCTCTGCAGGATTCGTCTCTGGGGAACCTTGGGGGCCTGCGGGAGCAGAAAAGAAGATGATCACATGACCGACTTACGTGGTGGAGGGCTAGACGTCACAGACACCTAAATGAACAGGCGGCTCTTCACTAATTCATAATTAGTAATAAACAGCAACTGTTTTCCGGTATAATAAATTACATAAATATTACGTAAACAGCAAATCTTGGGAACTTCTCAGTCATTTATTGATGTATGTTATATAGCACATGTCTGGTGCTTACCTGCAGGCCTGCAGTTTGTGGCTGGGACGCCCTTTCAGCCCCAGTCCTGTCCAGGGAGCGCGAGCGGGCCTCGCGACTCTGCGTGCGCTGCTGCCAACTGCGCAGCTCCTCGGACACAAGTCCCTGGGGAGACGCCCAGCTGTGGTGCTGCGGGTACTCCCTGAGGGAAGGGGCGCGGGCCAGCCTGACATGGGGGGGTGGAGCTCTCCCATTCCAGTGATTGTACTGTGGCGCGGCACCTTGGGCCAGAGGGGGCGGACTTAAGTAGAGACGTGCCACATCCAACTCGGGGGGGTATCCCAGCTCTTGTCCCATTAGAGCCGTGTTGCAGCTGGTTGGATGTTGAACCTGAGAGGGCCTGCAGAAGCTGCTCCCGGACTGTGGCTGGGGCCCCTTGAGGTGCCCAGTGTGCTGCCTGTTGTGGGGGCAGCTGCTGACGTGAGGACCGCTGTTTGGGGGACCTCTATGGAGTCTGCTTTCATGAGGACTGAATTGGCGTCTGGTGTCATTTGAGCTGCTGTGATGGGCGATATAGTATCCGTATGGGGGTGGGCACGACCTGGTCATCTCGCTGGGGCTGTCGCGACCAGGAGAGCTGGTGTGTGAGGATACAGAGTGCTCCGAGCTGCTGTCCTCAGAGCTGGACGCATATCGCAGCTTCCCAAAGCCAGCCATTAGGGCCGAGTACTCCGGCGGGGTCATGGAAAGGTCGCGGGGTCGTAGGCACAGCAGCTGTCCTGGTGCCCGATTCTTTTCTGATGTGTCCGGAGTCTGATACCTGGGCAGTCTGCCAGAGAAGCAACGCATGAGCCACAGAAAAAAGGACTGCAAGCCTAAGTACACCTGCGGAGTATCACATGCCACTGAAAAGAAATAGGAATGCCTTTGTGTTCACTAAGCAAAATAACATGTCATTGATGATTAGTCTCTTCTGTATACAAGAGTACAACGTAAGACATGATATTACTGTAGGGCACCACACAGTCCTGCTCCTGCTCGATATCGCCAGACTGACAGGCCTCAGGGCTCACCTGAATGACTGGAAGTGCGGGCGGCGTTGTGGCAGCTCCGGGGTGCAGGGGGCGCTGCAGGCCTCACTCTGGCCCGGTGTCTGAGCAAGGACCAGTGGTGGGAGGGCATCTCCCAGCTGGAGGTGCACAGGTGTGGAACGTGGGGTCACCACTGGGCTGCTACAGGCATGGAGAGGAAGACAGAACTCTAAGGATACAGTCCAGTTATCAAATTCAAGATTCAAGGTCTTTACCGGCCTTGTGCAACAGGTGCATTGGAATGCAAAAGAGACTTAAAGTACAAAACAGCAGAAATAGTCCCCCACAGTGGAAAAACAAGACAATATGCTTATAAATTAATGATAAATCAGATAATTCAGCTAAAACTAGAAACTATTTACAATACCTAGATATATACCATTGTGTATATCCATCGAACCATCTACCACAGCATGCATTTTTCAAGAAGTAAAGGTAATGTAAATGTAAAAATGATGTCATTTAGGGCACAGCATTAACAGCATAGCATCCAGGGTGTGCTGTCCCTGTGCTCCATAGGACTGGCTCCGGTGTCTATGTACTGCATTAAGATTTATCCAAAGCGGAAGGCTCGATGGAACACACTAAGGCAGAGGCCACTTTGGCAGAAATCTCTGCATTGCACAACCTCGCTTCATAACCCAGTTTGCTTTCTTCTTGGTCTGTCAGTCAAGTGCATGTTTCAGCAAAACCCTCCATTTCTTCAACCAACCGATATCCACTCTTCAAATTGTTACGTGTTACTTAATACCTCTTTTCAAAAAAATTAGAAGGCTCCCACTGTGAATTTAGTGGGAAACATTAGCATAAGCTTGTATCCAAACTGATGTGCCTCTACTTTTTGGAAAGAACAAGCATTGCATTAACTGGAGGGTTGAGCGCAAGGGGAAACCTGCCCAAACACATGCAAACTCTACACAAACAAGCCAGGGCCAGGATTCAAAAACCCACCCCAGAGATATCAAGCTACTATGTAACAACCGAACCATTCTGCTCGTCAAGATATTAAAATTATAATGTTTTTGTCAAATATGTTTATTTTTACCAGGAGCGACTGCTGTTAGCAGACTGGGTCTTGATAGGCTTCCGATAGGGCTGGTCCAGGCTGGACTCCTTCCACGGCGAGTTCGGGACGGGGCAGCGCTCATACTCCACCCTGCAGCTCTGTGTCGGCCTTGGCCCTTCCAGAACGTCCGGAGGGGGGTCCCGGGGTTGGTGCTGAAGATGTTCTGGGGGGTCTTCTGAACAAAGGTGTTCGGAGAACACATGTGTTGCCTGGTCTTTCACTTCTGTAGGCAGTAAAACGGAGTTAGTATTGGCTATAAATATATGTAATGTATCTTACAGGTAAGTACATTTCACATATTATTCAGCAATATCTGTGCCTGTCCCACAAGGTACTATGAAACAGGGCTTTGGTTAGAATCCATTCGCTACATCACACATTGGTGATATACAGGCAGCATACTTACCTTCCTTTAGAAGTGCAGAGTCTGATAGAGACTCATCTAATGTATCTGGATCTGTGAAAGCAAGAGTAACCATGTAACTGAAGGCTCATAACTCACAGGCAGAAGGATGCAGAACAGATTACTGTTTTGCTGTTATTTAAAAGTTTCAATCAAGTCACTATACTTCATTCATCAAAATGCTACCAGAATTTTACATTGTTTTAGTAGCAATTGCGTTCTTGCTCTACTGCATATGTTGCTTACCACTAAGTTTGGCCACAGGGTAAGTGAAAATCTCTCTCCGCAGAGATAAGGCCCTCTGCAGCTCCGTCAGCTTCCGCTCCTCACGCTTACTCTGCTGGAGGCGGCTCCTCTTCACTGACCTGCTCAGGTGTTCCTCAAGGCACAGTTTACGGGCCGCTTCTAGGATGCGCATCTGTAGTGCCAGCTTGCCTTCCAATGAAAGCAACTCAGGGTCCTTTGGAGAGCATTCATGCAAATATGTATACCATCAGCGTGACAAACCCGAACAGCAATCCTGTCCTAGAATAGATCTCATTGCCTGATAGCAAAGACTCAACACAACTGGCCATTTCCAACCAAATGATACAATTATAAAATATCAAGTGCACAGTGAAAAGTAAGCAAACTATGATGGCCAGTGTTCCTCCTTGGCATCACCATCGGTACTTTAATGGAAGAAACCTTATTTGACTCTGCCACTGACATTTACCCTGACAACAGTCCTCAGACCCCCAGCCGAATCCCCAAATCTCATAAACCTAATACGGTACCTTTCCTTCACTCTGGACACTCTCCCTGTTCAGAGAAAAGGTAGCCCCGACACGGCGGTGCACGCATGGCCGTTTCTCTCCAGGCATCAGTGGGTAGTCTGCAGGCAGCTGTCCTGTCAGTTCCTGTGCCGCAAACACAAGCCAGACTACAGCTGATTCACACAATCGTATGTAACACTAAGAGAGAATGAGGCATCCTGTTGGTGTTTTATTTCTAAAAGAACTGGACTGATCCCAGGACACATTCAGTCAGTTTGAAAACCACTGAAAGCTTGGTCAGTGATATAGTAAAGGGCACTTTCTGGAAGTTCTACCTACTATACACATCACATTTTCTGTTTTTCAAAGGAATGCCACAGAAAGACAAGCACATTAAGCATTCTGATGAATAAGAAGTAACCTAATTTCCAATAAGTGCTTAAGGCACGTCAAGACAAGCTAGGACTCTTGTCTGCCATGCAAAGCTCCTATTGCGCCATATTCAGACTGCTGTCATACACTGAATGTTGAGCTGCTTTTCCAGAGACCCCAGGGGAATCACACACTATAGGCCACTTTCTCAAGCCAGTCCTCCAGGACCCCCAGACAGGGTTATTTGCAGCCTTGCTTTTATAAGAATGTTAGTAGGAAGCTCTTACCGCCTCTCGAATGCACAGTTTCCTCAGCTCCTGTAGACATTGCTCCAGACGTTCCTCCAGGGCTTGGTGCTTCAGTCGTACGGCCCTGGTATGGACGGCCAGCTCCTTTGTTAGCGATGTGGGACTGTCAGGGCCTGCAATGCACATTCACAACCAGAGCAGAGGGCTTTCATTAACAACTGGTTCACACCACCATTTGTGATGGTAACTGGAAAAAAATCCAGAGCAACTAAGCCAATCCTGTGAACAACAGCAACCATAAGACTCACCAAATGCTCTATTAAATGAAGCAAAATACCAAACAACTTTTTGATACACTGACTGAATTGCAATGTACACCTATATCTCTAATGGTTTTATACTGTACAAAGAGTCAGAATTCCAAAATGGATATCAAAAGTGGGAAACAGTACGGTGCTCAAAGGCAGAGATTTGTAACCTTACGAATCCTTATTCAAGGTTCCAGTTAGCGATAAATGAAATATTATCAGGATCAAGTCCCTAAATTGCTTCAGCAAATCATTAGGTTTACAAAGGTTTACATCTACAAAAGTACTGTTTTTAATGTAAATCCTGCTAAGGAAATAGTTTCCACCAATAAATGTGGTTTGTTAACATTGTTCAGTATGTCTGTAAAAGTAAGCCATGAGATTAGGAGATTGTAGGGGACTTCCGCTGCACTTTTATTGCCTGAGAAGCGGAACCTATTCCAGTTTGCAAACCAGAATGGTAAAAATGTGAAAACCTGCTCTATCTATTCTCCGTAGATAATCTGCCATTGTGATGAACAGGCAGAGCATGAAGCTGAGTTACATCAAGGAATGTCAGCAGCAGACCTGTTTGAAATGCATTTTTATTGTGACCAGCCAGTCTTTAGGGGGTGCTTTAGTCCCCTCTGTGCAACAGATCTCCCAGACACACAATTTTCTTCCATAATTGATAAGATGTCAGGAGAACAATCATTTTTTTTAATAAATGCTAAAACTTATATACTATTCCTTTGTTTGACGCCATTGGTCAAAAATGGGAAGTTGGCTACTATGAAATGATTTCCTAGTGTGTTGACTGATTGTGCAGGTCAAGGAACACCTGACTGTCTGCTTTGTCTGAAAATATTTATTCTTACCAGACTGGAGGATAATTCCGCTGTCACTGTCACTTATCTCATCTTTGCTATCCATCTCTGCGTCTGCTTCCAAGTTCTGTGTATAAGGAAACTTCAGGAATTTGGTGGTGTCTGGAAATGAAGACAGACCAGTTTGTTAATTGTTTTACATAATGTGGACAAATGAAATATTGTAGATAACAACCACAAGTATATTTTGTTGTCTTTGAAATACAAGCACAGATTAATAAAATATGAATTGTGACGACAATATTCAAATGCAATATATTGTTTCTACATTAAGTTCACTCACAAACAAAAGACAAGTTTTATGTTTTAATTCCTACAGTATATTACAACAGGGTACGGGACAGGCCAGATCAAAACAGGGCACGGGACAGCCCGGATCAGAACAGGGGCATGAGACAGCCCGGATCAGAACAGGGCACGGGACAGACCAGATCAGAACAGGGGCATGAGACAGCCCGGATCAGAACAGGGCAAGGTACAGCCCGGATCAGAACTGGGCACGGGACAGACCGGATCAGAACAGGGGCATGAGACAGCCCGGATCAGAACAGGGCAAGGTACAGCCCGGATTACTCTTACAGCTACCTTTAAACAATTTATATGGTTTGCCAAGAAAAAAAAAGATCATCTAGTAACAGTGGGCCTCATTCATCAATATTTTCTTAAGAATTCTCTTAAATTTGTTCCTACGAAATTTTTTAATTACAACCTACATCGGATTCATGACGTGTTCTTAAGTAGCAGAATTGTTCGCACCTTTGTTCTAAAGAATGGTGAATCCCACGTCTTTGTAACTGAAAGTGCGTGCCAGTTTGTCCTAATTAGCATAGGGAAACGCCCTGCAATGTCCCATAATAGGGCATGAGACTGTAGGGCCGTGTGCAAGGAATGGCGAAGAGGCGCGCAGATTATGAGCCGCTTGGCACTAAGAGGAAAAAAAAACTTCAGTAATGCTGAAGTAGAAGTATTAATAGAGTAATATCCCGTTATAGTGGACTCGCTTATAACTGAATTTCGCTTATAACGGACAAACAATTTAGTCCCCAGGGCCGCTTTTAGCTGTAGTTCTGTTCGGCTATAACGGACATACAGGCTCCGGTGATACGTGGCGTGCCGGTGAAATCCAGCGCAGATACGGAGTCGGGATTATTAATAGTCACGCATCTGGTCAGGTAAAGTTGGATTACTACATGTACAATTTAATAATTTGTAACACAAGTGTGTCTGCTGGGGTGTGGCCTGAGTAAATGGTGTCCTGTAGTTGTGTTCTGGGCATACAGCAACTCTGGATATAACGGACTTTGGATATAACAGACTGTTTTGACAGATCCCTTGAAGTCCGTTATAAGTGGATTTTACTGTACAGGAGGTAAATGCAAATAGACACATGTTATTTAGTATCGTAACCAGTGGTTATATAGCCCCCAAGAAAGCTGATACATGGAGAGATATCACCTTCTCTGTGAACGCCGTGTGCCAAATAAATCTAAATGATCTTCAAACATTCGTTCCCTTCTCAGAGCACGATTGGCAAGCTCTTCAAGAAGTAACAGAAATGACATTTTGATAGCAAGGCCAATGCGCAGAAACATATTATATAATCCGCATGATCGCCGTTACTACCATGAAAATAATTTTTACACTTTAAAATTATTTTTTATATTTTACTTTTATAAATTATTCAAATATTATATCATTTTATGAACTGTAGAATGAACAAAACAGCTATAACCAATTATGTAGAACAAACTATCATTACTCAAATGTGCGTACGAATGGTCTTGAATGTGCGTAGATTCTGTTCTTAGCTAAGAACAAATTCAGATACAGAATCTCCGTAAAAAAAAGTGCGTACGTGGGGTTTAAGAACAATTAAATTAAAAAAACAGAGTATGACAAAATGAATGACAAAAAGTACAAGACTGTCATAATCAATGTCTGGTAAATGACTAATAAAACTTTGTGATGCAATACATCCTGCTTCCTGCTTGCCGAATTTCAGTACTACACAGTTTGTAGGTATGTAGTTTAAGTCATGTATAACATTTATAATGATAACACTAATAATAATAATAATAGTAATAATAATAATACTGTAATTATTATTATAGGCTTGTAGTAGTAGTTGTTGTTCTTGTCGTTGTCACCACCATTGTTATTATTGTTATTGTTGTTATAAACACTGATACCAACCAGTATCATACTCTGAGATTTTTGTTAAATAATACCATTTTCGCCTTCATGTGCGAGTTAAGGCAAGTTACATTTCTTAGACGTTACACGAGTTATTAAATCAAGCTTGTATGACAGTAGGCAGAGTCAACTGCCAGAGATTTTAAAGATTAGACGGTTCAGTGGTAAAGCTTTATACCCCTAAATGCGTAGCAATACGGTGAATACCGAAACATAAAACTACAATAAGGTGTTGTTCGCTCTATAAATTATGCTGTAAGAACAAAAGCACATTTAAAAACAGCGCATTACCACGTCCTCCTAAAGGCCACCATAACTTACATCAATAATACTCTGTTTACTCCTTTTAATACACATTCAGCTAAGACAGACTAAACGACCGTCACCACCCCTCAAGTTTAATTAGTATTGGTGCCATTATCACAAGAAAAAGCAGGAAATAAGCGCAACCACCGCGGGAATGTTTTAACACCTTAAAGTAACGCCTGCCAATTTGTTATTTATATATTTTCAGACTTTGTCAGCTATAGCGTTATTATGATCACAGTATTAAAAAATGTAACAGAAAAATACCGACTCTATTAATAAAGTACCGCAGTCCTTTCCGAACAGGTATTCGGCCTCTCCAGTTTCCTATTCTACATTAAAGTGTAAGTATAAGCACATAAAATTGCAGAATTATACAATTTTTATAGGCCCACAAAAAACTGCACAGATGTAACCACTACAAGATATCTATTTTTTGTACTAATTAACGTAGTCGCGGAATTTTAATGCTCATTATGAAACTTGACTCTTTTGTTAAGCTATGTGAAACCACGGAATGACACTCGGGCTAGAAAAACGACAACAAATGTCACCTCCGAATAACGTGAACATCCCCAATAGTCCTAATAATAAATTTCCCGGTAACCATACCAGTTAGACACCCTAGTCTGCAGTAATTTAAATGTATTACTTATTCCCTGAGGTTTTAATCATGTTAAAATAATGAAACACTTACATGATAAATTATGCGTGGAATGTGAACAGGAAACGACTTCCGAATTTCACCTTACGGAGTTTAAACAGAAAGTGATGGGAAAGGTAGCACAGTCTGCTTTAAGTCCAGTGCACGAAGTAGGAGTGGCGAGAAGAGCCGCGTAGCTACCTGAAGCTCTGGTGGCGAAAAGACTGCGATCGGTGTAATGAATGAGAGGGAGCTCAGTTTTTGCCAAAGCAGAATTATTTAAATGAAGGACAAGCGTCACGTCCCCTGTGCTTGTTCCTTTCTTTTGTTCATTCATTAAATTTTGGGGAAAGAAAATGAAAACGCAATCCGATTTCCTGTAATTCAGTCGTTCAGACGAACTGATGGCGTACTTTGTATCACACGCGTTGTGCGTAAAGGCTTAATTTCGCAGTGATTTAGGAACGATTCATGTTTGTTTTAATCAACTCTGTTCCACCAGATGACGCTGCAACATAACGATCATAACGTAGTTGTTGCTGTATTGTCGCAAAAGTAGAATGTATTTTCGTATTAATCGGCATACGAATTTCAGAAACATCCACATATACATTTTAATTCCTGTGTATTTAGTATGTATTTAGTTTTTTAAATCATTTAATACAAAACCTAAAATACCAACTTAAAAAACGTATGCCTATGGACAACAGAGCTGATACCATAAACACACAGCTGTAGTTTTCTCATCGCCTACCATGAAGATTCATTGTAACGCATGTAGCCTACTTATTTAGCAGCCACTTTTATTCAAAGTGACATACAATTAAGAAAGCAGAGTCAGCCAATCAGCAATCAGGATTAATGGCCCAATGGTGACATCATTCTGCTGAGTTTGGGATTTGAACCAACAACCTTCCGATCATGGATATAGCATCCTAACTCATAGAGCCACACACCAATCTAGACCCCTCATACACCCATAAAAAGTGCACGTGTACACATACAGACACACACATACATACATACATATTTGTATTCAGATCTTTGTGGGGACCATCCATTTTGATGGGAAAACCCCTAATTCCAACACTGACAACCTTAACCCCTATACTCATCTTTACCACAAGTAACCAAGACTTTTAGCATTTTTAGTTTTTTGATTGCAGCCATAGATTTTTATTAAATTGAGTTTTCCCCTGTGGGAATATGGTCCCCATAATGTCAAAATAGCAGGTTTTCATCCCATTGTGGGGACATTTTGGTCCTCACAACATAACATATACATGCCACAAACACAAGTATGTATATATATTTGACTCCTTAAGTCAGGGGTGCTCAATCTTATCCGCAAAGGGCCGGTGTGTATGTAGGTTTTTGGGATAACCTGTATGTTAGCTGTTCAAACCCAGGTGTGAGGACTCTTCAGCCAATCAGTCCTCCAATTAGTAATCTAATTAGGGAGTTGCAGTGAAAACCTGCATACACACTGGCCCTTTGCGGATAAGATTGGGCACCCCTTTCTTAAGTACTTCACCATTTACTGGTACATTGCAGAGCCATGGAGGCAGAATGGAGGGCATGTCTGTATCGGCATTGTGTGCCTGTGGGGTGGGACTGACCCAAACGGCCTTTAACAAGGGCATCTGCAGAAACGAGAACTCCCTTCCTTCTGAGAGAAACAGATGGCTTCTGGATCAGCTGCACCTGCTCCCGCGTCTCCCCTCCCAACTTCCAGTCCCAGCACCAGCCACTTTTCTTTGTTAATACCATTATTGCACTTTTTTGTTTGTAATGCTGCACCTGCACTCTGTGGTGAATACTCAAACTCGATAGAAAGGATAAAACAGAGAATTTCAGCTGGTAGCACAATATCAAACATTTAACAGCCCTGTGGGTCAGGGCTGACCAAATCCCAGAGCCACTGCCCAGCACATGGAGGTCAAGCAAAACAGCTGCTTGAGCCTTTCCCAGTACAAACAAACCAGGGAGATAAACAAAGTACTAACTTTTATGTCAGAAACAATGGTGTGAGTACCCAGTATATCCTGCAGATAATACTCAAGAAATAACATGATAATAGTCTGCTCTAGCTGCAAGATGTGCAATAGTCTGCTCTAACTGCAAGATTTGCAATAGTCTGCTCTAACTGCAAGATGTGCATCACCGTGTGCCATGCAAGTCCATCTGCAGAACAAAGCGTTTACAGGGTTGTTCCATTCAGAATTTCTGCCTCCCTTGGTGGGGGGCAGGGGTGTTGAGGCTGCAAGAGGCAGCTGCCTACACAAAGGAGGCTGATACGGTGCCAGCTCAGACACGCACTTTAAAACCTTAAATGTGGAGGGGGGTCAAAGGTCGCTAGATTCCTAAGGCTACAGCTTGGCAACCACAGCCCTACAAAACAACACTGTGGCCTTCGCCCCGCTGGACTCAGCTTAGCTGTCATGGATCAAGTCATCAAACAGTCCAGCACAAGGCACATGGTGAGTCGGGGGTTAGGTGACGCCCAAAGCATCTCCAAATGTGTTGGATTTGATGAAGCATGCTTCCTGTGTACCCCTCCCCCAATCCCGCCATCCCTAATTCTGCCTAATTCTAAGGTTTATTGGTCATATAAGTTCACACTTATTTGGCTTAGTGTGATGCTTGCACTGACAAACAGACGACAAAGGACATGCAAGGTTGAGTTCCTTGCTCAAAGGTGCCATTTGTGGGATTGGTGGCATAGAATTCTGTGAATGGCACTGGAGGAGAAAGGAGAGGAGTGGTGTGTTTCGTGATATACAGGTTACAGTTTTACGCTCCTCAAATCCTCAAACATCTACCCTGGCAAAGAGGAGATGCTGCTCCCTCAGTTTTCCCACAAAATCTGTGGCATCACCAATAACCTAAAGACAGGAAACTGGCCGGGTTGTGTCTGTTCCTGTTTACACTGGAGAACCACACAAATGAGGCGGCATGACATTGATGGAATGTTATAGTAGATACGAAGAACACTGCAGCTCAGTTTGCTCTGAGTAAATGTAAGGATTTACGCCACAGTAAAGTCCAAAACAGGCAATGTTCAATTATTACATTATTCTTCAGTTCTTCAGGAAGTGAAATAAATGCAGCAAAATCCAAACTAGCAACAGTTGTGACCCATATCTCAGGAATAACTGCTGTACTGTTGAGAACAGCACATACATTACTAACAAACGTTCAACATGTGACTGAGAGCAGAAGCAAGAAGGAGCAGAACTCCAGGAAGAGGACAGGAAAGGAACCACAAACACATGCTTCACTTACATCAGAAATAGTCTAGTTGCAATGACAGCTGTGACCCCATACAGTTTAATTAATAAAGTGTGTTTTTTTATCCAGACTGTGTATTCATTATATCAAAGTTTTGCAAAACCTTATAACAGGAAATGTTCTCCCAAACAAAAATAGGGATGCTGAATTTAATATTATAGGCTAATACGCCAGTTACTGCGACAAAATGTATACAAATAATCCTAATAAAGAGGTCATAAAACATCTTGGACAGCAAAAGCAAGAACTGTTCTTGTTGAGTAGGACATGGATTCTGAGTCTAAAACCGTCACCAAATGATAACCAATCATGAGCCACTACAGTTGTGCTGGCGCTTGAAAGCAATGGATCTGCGCTCTTCGCAAGCCGCTCACCCTCCCTCCAAACAAGACGGCTCATTTCCAACCCGAAACCGCGGTTCACATACCCGCAGCAGTCACATTAAACCCTAAACTACCAACTCAGTAAGCTAACTGTGTCTGCATGGTCAGCAAATAGATTACACTGCACATCTATCGCCGAAATACATACGTGAGCGAGCGTTTGACTACGCCTAAAAAAAAAGAGAGAAAACTGGCCAATACCACTTTATATATATTTATGCAAACACTTCTCCTACGATTTCCTTTGAAATAAATCTGATAAGGCGCAATCGACCAGTTTTGTACGATACAGGTATAGATAAGAAACTCTTGGCAGGTTTAAAACCTTTCTGATAATTACATATCATGAAACGGACATAACTAACCACAGCAAAGTTTGATATTTAGTTTACTGGCTGTAATATATTGTAGTTTAGGCATTAAGACATTGTTCATCTGATGTAGTCCGTAGATTACCTAAAACTTTATAAATGGTTCTTTATAAAGATAAGATTCAAAGCAAAGAGATCAGCGTTAAGGTATTTTATTATTAAGTTATTGACTAAACTGATTAACCCAATCTTTACTTTTACAGTTGAAAATGGTCAGTATGTAAATAACACGACAGAACACAGTTAAAAGTAGACCCTCATTTAATGATGGTGAATAAATATATGATTTTAAAAGAAACATAAGGGAAGCTGCAGGCGTTCGGAGCAAATGAAAAGTAGCTAGGTCTTTGATCTTAGTGATCTTAGCACAGGACATTGTCAATTTGATCTATTGTAACAGCAGAAGCCAACAATGCAAACTTAAAGTTTGTATTTTGTTACCTGGCAAACCCAGAGCTACGAATCACCGATTCTCTGTATTGCAACAGGTGTTTCATGAAATTAATTATAGTCTGGATATATATTTATATGGAATTAATTTATCTATAAATCATTATATTTCCAAAGTTATAAGGCAATAAATCAAGGTAGGCCTACTTAACGAGTTTTTGAAAAGAAAAAGACTCGCATCACAAAGCTGCCTTTAACGTATAGGTGTGTTTTATGTGTGTGTGATTGATGTATCATTCGGCTATTAATTTTATACTATTCTTACATACATGATGTAAATATTATAAAAATGTTTACCAAAATGATTTTCAGAATAGCTATGCATAGGCTATGTAATATATGAAACGAAGAATATTTTAGTAAAACAAACATTTAACAATCATTTATTATTTTTGATTGAAATGTGCATTACTTACCTTTTGCGTCAAAACTCCAGTCAGAAACTAGACATTATGAAGCATTCTCGTAAATCCATAACAAGGAGGTAAGACAGCACCAGTTTCGTCCTAGAAAGCAACAAGCTGCACTTACGCTTTCAGAGATCTTACTTCGGTCATACCACTGTCACTCACGAAGGGGAGAGTGAATGAGCTGATTTTTCGTGAACTAAAATAACACTAGCAAACTTCATGACGGAACATGAGTACTGACATTGTAAACATTCTGTTTTTCGACTATAAATTGGGTTAAATAATAAATTACATTCTTTGAAACACGCTTTCCATCATTATCCCTGTGGACAAATAACATTAGAAAGACTGAACGTGCCTTTTCATGCGCCATACGACGGTCCTAAAGGAACTGGTGGGGGAGAGAGAGGGGGGCATTGAAGGTTTGTAAACGCGAAAGAATAGCGTGACAGCAGTGCATTGAAAAGGCGAGTGCCTACGACACCTGGCTGTTACTAGTTTTGAAGTAATGAATGATTTCAGACGCCCGCTGTTTCCTTGCTTTAAATCACGTTACGCCGGACTGAAACAAGTCAAATAAGAATATATTGAAATGTATTTACGTATATCAAGATTATAGGTCTATGACATTGATACTGTCGTGGAAGACGAATCTGTAGAGACCTATGGTGCGAGTGACCGTGCTGAATCAGTAGACCATAAACTCCGGCTGCTCTCTGTTCCTGACCTCCTCACACGGAGGCTGAGGACTCAGCAGACCGACAGAAAGGCCTCCCTCCTCCCCCCCGCCCTCTCTCTCTCTCTCTCTCTCTCTCTCTCTCTCACACACACACACACACACACACACATGCCGGTATGCCTGTCTTATGCAGCCAGATGGGGTTTGTCGCTGACCTGGCAGATGGCGCATTTTTATACTCCGTACAGCGCAGTTCCAAGTGAAAAGACTAGCTAATTAAACGGCGCTCCATTTCCATGTGAAAGCCGACGAATTTTAGGAGTCGATTTCCATATTCGCTGGAGTGGAATAACTCCACAGCCGGTCTCCGAGGGAATCTGATGTTAGAGGGGTCAGGGTGCAAAACGAAACTTTGTCAGCAGCACTGCGAAACAAGATGTGGACCGTAGAGCTCAGAATCTTATATTTTTTTTGTTTACATGACCTACTGAGGAGGGAAATAAATTGACCTTTAGATAATTTTTTTTACTTAATTAGTACAAGTGTTTGTTTTTTCCCCACCTTCACGCTCCTCTAGCCCACCCGGCTGGCGCTAACTGAGGCCGATCTTGTGCCGCCCTCTCGGTTGGTGGCGGTCTAGTGGCGGCCGCCTCTGCTCAGGCACGGAGGGGAACTAATTTTCGGCCCGGGAGTTTTATGCCAAAGACCAGCCCATTTTGTCTGCGTTCTGAGGGAACTTTGATAAATGATGCCACATTTCAAGTCTTATTATCCCGATGAATTTATTACTGACATTTCAATAAGAAAAGAAATCATAAATAGCTTATTGAACTGTTAAAGCATATAAACTTGAAAATAAAAATGAAACATCAGGACACTATTCTGTAAAACTCTTTGTAAAATGGTTTTTAATACAAATAGGAACATGCTATTTGACCACAAAATATAAATAGACGTTTTGTACTGTGGAATTCATAACAAGATATGTCCAATGAATAAATTGTATGGAAATGAAGCTTCACTCCTATAAACAGAAAAATTCTGCTCTTTTAAAAAGTCTGCACTTTTTCAGTCCTGTCTCATGGTCGTTTCTAGCATCCATCATTTGATAAACTTCCTTTGTTTGATTAGCAATAGCAACTTCCACAAGCATGTACTGTGTTCAATCAGTGGCAAACAATTGTAGTCTATTATGTGTGTGTGTGAGTGAGTGTGTGTGAGAGAGACAGAGGGAGAGAGAGAGAGAGATAACTGACTGGTTAACATTTTGAAGTGTTGTTGTAGAATTTTAAACTTCTTAAATTATTTTGTTTCTGATCACCACCACAACTAAGTGACCCACTGGGAGTTCTTCTGGTTGGCCATTATGGGCCTGACACAGTTTGTACTGGGTCAGGCAGTAGCCAGCGCCACTAACTGAGGCTGATCTTGTGCCGGTACCCAGCACAGAAAGATCCAACTACTACTGAAAATTTTTTATTCTCCTGCACACGTCGTAAGACTTGCATATTGAAAAATGGCTGCCAAAATCTACGCAGTAGTCAAATTATCCCTTAATTAATTAACTAATACAGTGATTTAGCTACAACTCAGACATGGGCAGATAAAGGTATGTATTTTATCAATTGAAATATCTGAATATATGTGTTTTTAAATTAGACGTTAGGTAAATTAGATTTAGGCCTATGTGAAGTTAGATAACATTATGTCACTTAAGTTAATCACGCAGGCTGTCATTTAATAATTTATATTGAATGCATGCAGCGCTCAGCTGGAGCAGAAAGGAGATGTGCACGTATTGAGCTGCTGATTTTTTCGCCTACCCAATCATAATGTCAGAAGGAAGGGATCTGTTGAGGTAGGCCAGTACGGAAGAGGATTAGGGCCACCATGAAAATATTATTTGAATTCTGACTTTAATCTCAGAATTCTGACTTTAATCTCAGAATTCTGACTTTAATCTCAGAATTCTGACTTTTTTCTCAGAATTCTGACTTTAATCTCAGAAT